AGGGACTTAGCGCCACACCACGCACACTATTGTTCTGCAGGTGGAGAGCCTGGGGCGGCTGGAGAGCCTGACCCAAGCTAGTGGTTCTGTAGCCTGGGACTGCAGGCCCCTGCCTCATTGATAGCCTGGGTGCCCAACTACCAGCCAACGAGCCGATCCACCTGCACCGGGGGTGGTGGGTGGGTGGGTGGGGGGGGACGTTGGCTAGCTGTGTCCCTTCGAGAAGCAGCAAAACACCAAGTAGGGCCTCTGTCTGGTACAAAGGCAGGCTGGCCTGTTCACAGTTACCACGGGCTACTCAGTGCATGGCTTCAGAAAGGCAGGTGCGAATGTTCCCAAAGGGGCAGGGCTGATAGTGTTCCACCCCCACCCCACGGGACAGTCTGCCTGTGCTGAACAGTTCTGGCATGGAACCTGCCAGCCCTCGGGGAACCCGGGAAAGGTGGCCCTGAACATGTCAGGTTTCTAAGTTACCTCCTCTAAGAGCAGTCACGCCACATGGCCCAGCACACTGTGGGGCTCCAGGAACCCAGCAGATGTCCCCAGAAGACAGTCCCTGCTAAAAGCAAGCAGGCCTGTTGCGTCCGGGGCAGCCCCGGCAGAAGCAGGCAGTGCATGAAGCTCAGGGCCAGCCACAGGGCTCCCGGGGCAAAGCCGTGCACAGCGCCAGCTGCCCCTTGGCGGTCCCTCCACGGTGTGGAGGACAAGTGGCCCCTTTCTGTCTACTTTTCGAAGCAGATGGGCTTCTAAGAAGGTTCTGGGAAAGGAAGGCCAGGACTCCTGGGTTCTCATAAATCTTTTAATCAGAGTAAATGAAGAAAACATTGTAACAGTAAAGTCCCATGGTGAGGGGACCGCTCAGGGATCTTCAACAACAGAAAAAGCTAAGACTGAAAGTTCAGAATGCTAAGCACACAAATGAATGACCACTTATTTCTAAAGGTGACTGCAGAAACCATTTCGGCACAATCAGAAGGTTTTACAAAACAGAGGAAAATACATTACAAGATGCCCCGGGGAGGTGAGAAAACTGGTGGGGGCACGGGGCCACCTAAGAACCAGCCTGGCAAGGGCACTCCCCCTGCTGCTGTCTAGGAGGCTCACAAAGACTGGTTCTAAAGGGAGCCAGTGGGGGAGTGGGGGGATGGGACGTGACAGGAGGGATCTGCCCAGTGCACAGCAAATGGGGAAGGATGGGGGCGGGGACAGAGGCATGTGTCCATTTCCTGGCAAAAATGAGACTATCTTATTCTCTCCACCACAATAACACCAAGATAAATGAAGAATTCCTTAGAATAGAATACAAAACGCACACCAAAAGAAAAGCCAGTTTCCAAAACGACAGTGTTGCTTGAAACGACTTTGTTTTGTTTTTGTTTCGTGCCCGGAGTAGCAAACCAGTGTACGAAAACGTCACAGACAGAGCAGCGACAAGTGACTAGGTTTTCCTGAGCACAGTACTGGCTCGCTCTATATACAGAAGAAGGCGGCTCACTCCGTCTCGTGGACTCTAACCCCCTCAGAGAGGGCAAGGCAGGGCAGGCCATGTGGTGGGAAGACCTTCCCCAGGCTGGGGCCTGCCTCCGATCCTGCCAGGGCCGGAGGGACACCCTCCCTATGCAAACCAGCACCAGCATCTTGGCCTGTACTGTCATTCCTCCCCGGCTTCCCCGTCAATCTCCCAGAGAGGACATATGACTCTGGATCAACGCCTACAAACCCAGGGAAGTCCTTCTGGCCGAGGGAGGGGGGAGATCAAGGGCTTTCTGTTACCCCTGAGCCACTGAGCTCAGCCCCGGGGCCCCACCTGGCCCCGGGGCGCAGAGACAGACCGACAACTTGCTACCGGTGGGGAGCTGTGCCCACTTCACATAACACAAGCACAAATGGCAAAACCCTGAGCGAGGCTACAGCAAAATGGGGTGATCTGGTAGCTAGCCTGGAGGTACCAGACAGTGGCGGAAGCCGACCATCCCACTGAACCCCAGACCACCCTGCGAGAGGACAGAGGAATGTGTACACCTAGGAAGAGGGAGGGGGCTGCAAGCAGGCGTGACCATCTCTTCTATTCTGAGCTGATGCCACAAAGTTGGCCAGCTAAGCGGACTCTTATCATTGGCCCAGATCCTTGGCCAAGACTACCTGGGGCTGGGAAGGCCCTCCTTTTGCTTCCTGGGGCTGTTTGAGAAGAAACTGTCCACTTCCACGAACACTCTCTCAGATACCCACACGCGCGCGCACGCAGCGAGCTCCCGCACGCTGGCAAATGGCATATGGAAACTTGGCCAAGGTGGCTGGGGAACCTCCTTGGCACCTTCCAGGAAAGCCCTCGGCAGGAGCTGGGAAGCCCGGGCCCACTGGCACAGGGGCCACCTTCCAAGGCAGGCTGTTGTAGGGGTGCCCAGGTCACCTCTCACCATGGGCTGGGCCCAAGGTTAAGAGTGAGCTACAAGACCACATCAGGTACTTGCAGCGCCCCAGCACCTCCCACACAAGCCAAGATGCCGCGCACAGCCTGTGGACAGGGCTCACTCTCTATTCCTTCTGCCTATATTTTTCTGAGCTGGCCTGGCCCCCTGGAAGTCCCGCACCTCCCCTCCAACCTCCCCCTTCCCTGGACACATGTAGCTGCCTCCGGGATGTCACTTTCTTCTTTCCTTCCCAGCAAAAGAATATCAGCCCGAATGGGGCACTGAGCTGGAGCCAGGGCAAAGGCATGTCGACGCAGGGAAGGCTGGGCTGACAGGCGACCTATGCCATGCCACTGAGACGGAGAGGAAGAGAGGGAGTGCCGACTCGCCGTGCCACGGTGGCATTCCAAAGAGGAGTGTCTGCCACACCCAGGCTGCGGGCCCCCAGCTGCAGCACAGACCATCTGCCTGCAGAGATTCCTTGTTCTGGGAGGGGACAGGACATGCCCCCAGGGGCTCCTCCCGTGACCTCCTTCCAGCCTTCCCTTTTGTGACGAGCCAAGGGGCACCGAGGCCTCGCACAGTTCCTCGTCAGCCATTCCTACACGCAGCGGTTTGACAGTGGGCAGGGTGAGCCTAGCTGCTCCAGAGGGGCCCCCTTCCAGAGGACGACCCCAGGGTGAGAGTCACTAAAAAGACTTGGCTGGACCCTCCAAGACAGCAGAAAATGAAGGCTGTGCGTCATGAGGAGCTCAAGGGGAGTGAGAGTACTAGGTGTGCTCTCTCTAGCTCCCCCACACCCTGGGAATTGATGGCCCCCAGGCTAGCAAGGCCAATGGAGAAGGGCAGTCCCTCCCGGGTGTGGCTTCTGGGGCCTCACCATGCTCAAAGAGACTCTTCTGCACTCTGCTGCCTTCCTTAGGTCCATTTGCTAAAATCGACCACTGAGACACTGACGCTCAACCTGGGTCTGATATGGTAACAGCTGAAATACGGGACCCCAGCCCAAAGCCTCCCAGTTGCCCACAGTGGGAGAGGAGAACGGGGGCCATCAGAGGAAGTCACTGAACAAGCTTTTACTGTTCTGAAGCAAACCTGTTCTTAGTTGAAGCCCACAAGGAGTCAGCAAATGCCCAGGCACTGGCTCCCTCCTTCAAGTCCATGTGTGACTGAGTTCAAGTCTTTCAACAGAAGGTGTTCCTTCTGAAGCACTTGAACCTGTCCTATGGGGATCTGATTGCTTGGCACCTCCCTTCCAACCTACACAGGGGCTTCGAGGGTGGGCTGGGTGGGGAGTAGGGGAGTGTGTGATGCCCACCCGATGCTAAACAATTCAGCACTGAATCTGGCTACAGTGATGACCCCTGGCCCTCGGGAAACAACACTGGCAGGATCTGTATCTTTCCAAACCCAGAATGCTGACATAGCCCGTAAAAAGCACGAAACGGATGGACAGGAGCCCCCGCAGAGACAGGCCCTGATGCAAGGATTCTCTGAACTCAAACATCCAAAAACAAAGAAGCAAACAAACTGACAAAAACAAAAAATAATAATAATAATAATAATAATAATAATAAAATAAACCCCAACCAACTCCAGCTCACTCTTCCCTGAAGCTGCCTTTTAAAAAGAAGAGAGAGAGAGAGAGAGAAACATTTAAGGGGCACTCAAGATTAAAAGGGCATCTGTTATCAACATTGAACTAAAATGGAGCATATGATTCAAATCACAGTTTTCTCAAGTTACCACTTCTGTTGATTAATTTCTATGCTGACTTCTCACTGGGATGTGGGTCACTTCTCAGCTCTCTCAGGCAGGATGGACCCAGGGTCCTGCCAAGTAGGAGCTGTGGAAACTTTAAACTTGTTCACTTTGGATTTTGCCACTGCAACAGCTCTCTACCCCCAGAAGAATCTAGCCTTGGGGTCGGGTAGTGCCCCCACCTTCCACCGCAGGGCAGCATCTTGGAGGGAGTGGCTAGTTGGCTGCTTGCTTTGAGTCATGGGACACCAATGGGAAGACTCTGGCAGGTTCTATTTTGGCCATGAGTGGGGAAATCCCTTGGCTCTTGGCATGCCGCTGGTATAGAAACAAGGCCTCAGTCCCATCATGGTGGGGGCTGTGCTGGAGACAAAAGGGGACCCTGGCATAAGCCTGGAGGTCCCTGGCAGTGGAGAAATGAAACCCAACCCAATCTCATCACCTCAATGCCAACAAAAGAACTACTGCTTGTTGGTCCCCGTCCCCTCAACCAGCTGTCATGAAAGCACCAACAAGCAAAGTGAAAGCCACTGACTACTTTCGCCCACGTAAGGCCACTAGGAGCAGAGAGAAAGAGCCAAAGGGGAGGGGAAAGGATCCCACCCTCAGCATGATGCCTCAGGCCCAGGAGATGTCCTGGGCAGAAGAGCTGGGGAGGGAAGAGTGTGGAAGAAAGGGACAGAGACAAGGGAAAGAGAAATACACCAGACATCCTACTGCCCTCTCCCCATGATTTCATCAAGAACTGGGTGTTCTCCAAGTCAAGTCAGGACTTGCTTCCTCAGGGAGAGAAAAAAAAAAAAAAAAAAAAAAAAAAGACAAGCACCTTCAGTCTATTTTCTTGGCTGGAAGCCGGAGCAAATCCAGCAGATATTTACACAAGGGCCCAGCCATGTATGAGAACAGGATGACCAGCTTCCCGTGGGTCATGGTCATGAGAGTCTGGTGTCCCGAGGCCCAGATGCGATACCAGGGGCCGTAGAATGGGTCTGAGATGGCCGGACACAGCATGTTGTTCAAATTCACTTCGGTGACCTGCAGGGATAAGGGAGGTAGAGTGAGCGTTCACCATCCTGAGGCTTTCTCTGGCTTCCGCCAGTTCAGCCATCTCTACCTATTGGGGGACTAAACAAGGAGGGATTAACAAATCCCCACCTGTTCATAGTGGGATTTCTCTGCCCTAGGGTTTTGGAGTGGGTCAAGGCTAGAGCCCTCGGGAAGTGATGGGGGAGGCCATCCAATGGAAAAGCTGTTTGGTTCTGCTCAGTCTTGCCTTCTGGTTGGGTCTGGAGCCTGCTGTCATTCCTAAGCAACTACTATGAGCCTAGTACCCAGAGAGGTATCAGGGGATGACCAAACAGTCAATGGCATGGTCCCTGCCTCCGCTTAACCGGAGGCCAACCGCGTTGGCATGGGCAACCGCATCTGACCTCAGAGCAGACGGTGCGCGCCAGGCGTTCCCCACCAGGAGAACTGAGGAGTGTACAGCATGGGGCCCGAGTCCTCAGAGAAGATTTCATGAAGTAGGTGGCACCCTGAATGGACTCATGAAGGATGGATGGGGGTCATGGAGAGGAATGGAGTGCATGGTGCCTTCCTCGGAGGAGGCGCGGCCTGGAGGTGGGACTGAGCATGGTTATGTGTGGTGACATGAGGACACTGACCCCTCTGGAATCAAGCAGTCCCAGTAGAGAGCGGTCAGAGTAAGTGTGAACGTCATACCGCTTCCTTCCTAGAGCGTGGGAAGCATTCACGCCATTGGCAAAGAGCTCAAACTGCCCTCCAGGCAAACCAGAGCAGAGCAGCGATACGCCAAGGTGGGGAAGGGAAAGTGACTGCTTCTACAGAGGCACGGGTGACATCGGTCCTGTGCCGTAGTCCTGTCAGGTTTCGCGAGGCTCCACACGGCTGATGCTACGCTAATGCCGCTCACGCACAAAACCAGACCTGCCACTCCGGCCCCGAGGATGGCCACGGCACCTGCCTTCCAAAGCCCTTCAAGCCTGTTCACGTTAGAGACAAGTCCTCAGCACCTCTCGGGGAGCCTGGGGGCGTCTGTACCATGACACAGAGGAGTGGAGAGCTCTCTGCCCTCGAGGGTGAGGTGACCCAGAACGGTGACAGGGCCAGGACTTGACCTCAGGTCTCCTGACCCCCAGCCTCGAGCTCGTCCTCCTCACTCTGCCACCAACAGACACCCATGCACTCAGCAATTCTGGACTCTGGATAACTCAACTACTGAGTCCAGCCATCATCCACGCTCCAGGCGGGTCTGAACACCCCAGAATGCCATGGGAGTCCCCCAACACTGTACTTGCACCGGCCACACAGCCCGGGGCCTGGGAGTAGGCCCAGAATGGACCCAAGGTCAGAAGCCTCCTCCAGGCCCTGGGGCCTGGGCTTAAGGTCCTGCCTCCCTGTGCCCCACCCCCCCAATGTGGGGTCCACAGCAAACCCCCTTCCAGCTGCAGCTCACTGTTCCCGACCCGGGTGGTCATCAGTGAAGGGCACGTTTGCCTCCCCAGGGATGAAAGGAACAATCAGTACTGAAGGCTTCAGAAACTTCTCTGGAGAGGCCCAGGCTGTGGATCATAAATCAGCAACCCTTGTATTGCAATGAGAGGCAAGGCAAAAAAAAAAAAAGAAAAAAAAAAAAAGAAAAAAAAAATAAAAAAAAATAAAAAAAAAAATAAATCAGCAACCCAGACACGACAATGTGACATCCTGGCCTTTGGCATCTTGTATTTTCAAAACAAAACGATACACCAGCGCCAACCAGGATTATCAAGATTTATGGAGAAGTCCAAACGGAGGGGATAGAAGGGGAACAGAACCGAACTTACCAGGCCCAAGATCTGCAAGACGCTGAAGTGGTAAAAGAACATGAGGCCAGTTGAGAGAAGGGCCCACCGGAAACTGCTGAGGGGCTCTGGGGTGTAAGCACCTGGAGGAAAAAGGGGAAGATGGTGAGACGGCAGGCTTGGGGACCCACTTCTCCTTTGCCCCTTGAGGTGCAGGTGCTGAGGCCACAGCCGCTGCCAGCTGACACACCCCCTCGCTGCTCGGTGACATCTACTTCAAAGCCAGTCCCACCAGCCATTCCCTCTGTTCTGCCACATACTGCCGGGGCCATTATGAAGGGAGGATTCTTTATTATTATTATTATTACTATTATTATTATTATTATGAAAGGAATGCATGCTCATTAAAGGAAATTCAGAAAACGCTAGAAAGTAGAACCAAGATGGAGAAAACAAAGAAAAACATCCCCAGCATTCTACTACCCAAATGCAACCCTGCTAACGTGTGTGTGTGTGTGTGTGTGTGTGTGTGTGTGTGTGTGTGTACGTGCGCGCACTTGGTTGTTTTCTCTATGCCTCAGGAGTTGCTTTTCTTTTTTTTCTTAATCGCTAATTGGAATCTAACTGTATATATATTCATATGTCCTTCCCTTTCACGTTTATTTTCATCTTTCCCTCATGTTTCTAAACAGGGATGCCACTGAGGAAGTATGGTAGGGTGGTTGAGAAGGTTAACTGTCATGACAGGCAGATTTGGGTTCAAGTCTAGATTCTTACTGCCTGCGTGGCCCTGGAATAGTTGTTGAAACTCCCCCTAAATCTCAGGATACCAGTCCTACCTCCTTCTTAGAATTGTCACAAGGAGTAAAGGCAATGATATAGTGAGCACTCGTAATACAGGATTGGGTACGATGTGAGTGTTCGATGGGTGTTAGATGCTGCCCTTAGCACATCATCATTATTCTTCAAATGACCACAGAACGTGCCACATCCAATGGCGATGCCATTTCCCAATCATTACACAACTCCTTCCCCCTGGAGCACCGAAAGTGATGTATTTTCCGCCCAGCCATCACTAGGAACTACCATCCCAGTAGCCCTGGATGCATTCCAGAGCTTTCAGAGGAGGTGCGTGGCTTATAGAATGCTGTGGGGTGTCACTCTAAATGGGGACTTGGCGGGGGGCTCCAGAATGAAAGCAAACTGGAACCCTCCACCCCAAGCAAGTAGGCGCCAACATTACATCCCAGGGTGGTTATTTTCCCAAGTCAGTCTTTCACTGATTCATCCATTCATTCACCAGCTGTTAAGTACCTGTTATATTCCAAGCCCTGGACAGAAAGATCAAGAAGACAGGCTCCCTACAGTCCAGGCTCATAGTCTGGCGGGGGAGGCAAACATGCCAATTGACAATTAGAACCCAATATGATGGGTGTGATGCCTGCGGTCTGTGCTACATATTATAGGCGAGTAGAACCCAGCTTGAGGTGGGGGGTGGGGTGGGGGGGGAGAAAAGATGTAGGAACAAGGACCGCTTCTTGGTAGAGGGGACATGGAGCAGTCCTGAACGACGTAACCAGGGGCCAAGACATTCCAGAGCCAGTAGCTCGCACAAAGGCAGACGTGAGCTCCTGGGAGCGAGGCAATTCAGAGAACTATGGCTAAGAGTTGGGGACACAGTGGACAGTGTAGAGGGGTGGCGACCAGGAGTAAGACCCAGATGTTGGTGGAGGGCTGGTCTACTCTAAGACCTTAGGAGCCACGCTGAGGGGCTTTGGGCTTCATCCCATACTTGGAGGGTCATGTGCCCAGATGCCACAAGGCTCAGGTAGGAAATTGGGAGGAGAGTGACCAGAGACTAAGAGACATTAAGGATGCTGGAGACTGGCCAACTGGAAAGCCCATGCCCCTTCTAAAGATGGCAACCACCACTCAGCTCAATCCATCCACTGTCCTGCGGGGATGTGGTTCCCAGAGTTGCCAGTTGTTGTTTTTTTTTTTTTTTTTTTTCCAGTTTTGCAAGGGAAGCCAGAAATTTGAACTTTCGCGTGGAATTTCCTGATTTTTAAATGTTGGCAAATAATTCAAAATGTTTTAAGAATGCTCAACGGACCAAACAAAACACGTCTTCTTGGATGGATTTCAGCCCATGGATGGCCAGCTTTGCGCTCTGCTGCAGAGGCCCAGAAAACAGCAGGAAAGTGATGTGATCAGACATGTGCTCAAGAAAGGTCACGCGGGCCAGCACGGGGGAAGGAATGGAGCAGAGAACATCGAGGCAGGGAGACTGATAAGGAGGCTGCTGCAGGAACCCAAAGAGGGAAGGGGATGGATGGCCCTCAAAGGTAACAGCAGTAGGCCTGGAGAAAAGTGGGAGAAGGACTCACCAGGATGTGGTGGAAGGCTGGATGCTGGGGAGGAAGGGTCAGGACGAATCTAGAAAGACTTCTAGCTTGGGCCTCCTTGGGCCTATGGTGCCATTTATTGTTATGGAGAAGAGAGGAAAAGGCAGATTGGGGCAGAAAGTAGGCAGACAATGAGGCCGATATTGGACATGTTGAAATTGAGGCATCTGCAGAATATCCAAGTGGAGATGTCTCTCGGGCTGCTGAGGGCACCCTGGGAAATAGCGCGGTGGCAGAGCGTGTGGGCACTGGAGCCTACAGACACAGGTATTCAAATCCTGGCTCTTGTCACTTATCGACGTCAAGGGCTTGAATTCAGTTTCACTCCTCTATAAAATGGGGGTGCCACTGCCTACTTCTCAAAGTTGTTGGGTAGATGAGATGACATAATTTAATGTTTGTTTATTTTTGAGAGAGAGTGCATGCGCAAGTGGGGGAGGGGCAGAGAGAGAGGGAGGATCCGAGGTGGGCTGTGCACTGACAGCAGAGAGCCCTCTGTGGGGCTCGAACTCACCAACCATGAGATCGTGACCTGAGCCAAAGTCGGACACTTACCTGACTGAGCCACCCAGGTTCTGCAGAGATGACATATTTTTTTTAATGTTTTTATTTATTTTTGAGACAGAGAGAGACAGAACATGAGCAGGGGAGGGGCAGAGAGAGAGGGAGACACAGAATCTGAAACGGGCTCCAGGCTCCGAGCTGTCAGCACAGAGCCCCATGCGGGGCTTGAACTCACGGACTATGAGATAATGACCTGAGCTGAAATCGGACGCTTAACTGACTGAGCCACCCAGGCGCCCCAAGAGATGACATAATTTAAGTCATGTCATAGTGTGGTTTCTGGTATTTAACAAATGTTGACTATTTTAATTATTATAATGAGTCACAAACTCAGTGAAGAGGGTGGGGCTGAACATCCAGATACACGTGTCATTGGCACACAAACACAAGCAGAGTCATAGGGGCACGTGTAGACTGAGAAACGAAGGCCAGACGCAGAACACCAAGGAACACCATGGCAGTGGGAGGTGGAGGGTGGAGAGGAGAAGGAATACGATGGGGTGACTGAAGCCAGGCAGGTCTTCTGGGGGAGAAGCTCAGGCTTGCTATGGGAACAAGAGCCAGGCTCACAGCACACTGGAGTCAGAAGGCCCTTCGAGCACATCAAACTCGTCTCTCCATTTTAGAGATGGAGACACTGAGGCTGGGAGATGGGGGGTGCCACCATCAAAGTCAGAGCAGGGCACTGGGCTCTCAGACACCGCTGGGCTGCTCGCTGCTCAGTGGCCTTGCTGCCACTTGTCCAGTCCTACGCCACCCCGAGTTGTACCGTCTCTTTCCTGGTCTGTCTACCCGTCTACACCAGAGTGCCTCGGAGTGGGGGACCTTGTCGGATTCTGTGTTCCTAGCATCTGGCACAGCGCTTGGTTTGTGAAAAGACACTGAGCTATGCACTTACACTTTGTGTGCTGAATGAATGGGAACTCGGCACCGTGTTGTCCCCTGGTTGCTGGGGACATTAAGGGTAAGAGGGGACCGGGAGGACCAGCAGGGGCTTAGGCTTGTGCTCAGGCCCCTCAAGCCCTGAGCCATTTTCCCCAGGTGTCCCTTCCCTCCAGCCTCTGCTTGGCTCTAAGTGGCAGCTGTGTGGTAGTGAGAGGTCACGTGGGCCAGGCACAGGAAAGGTACAGGAGGGGGCAGCCAGGAGATCCTCAGCCTGGAGGCAGCTTAGCCACAGACCTGGGGAAAGCAGGGAGGCGGCAGCCCCTCTCCTCACTGCGCACCTCCCCTGCCCTGCAGTCCCCGCCCTATGCTACGGGGGAAAGGGACACACACTCAGACACTGCCAAGGGTACCTGTTCTCACTGCCCCTTGCCCAAACCCCCACTTTAGTACCGTTCACTCTGTTGCCCCATCCACCCCACAGTGGACCATCAATGAGGAGCCGTTTCTGAATCCGCCTCCGTCCCCTCCAGCACCTGGTGCACATCAGGCACTCAAAAAATGATCAGCGTGTGAGAGAATGAATAGCACAGACCTTCCAGAGAATCCTCAAACCATACGAAACCCTTTGGCTTGGCAATACTACTTTGAGGACAACCATCGAATGCCTAAAGAACCCAACAGATGGCCCTTATTTGCACAAAGATATTTACAGCTGCACCACCTACAATATGGAGGATCTGGAAACAAACCAAATGGAGAGATAAACTCTGGCACCTCAATACCATGCAACCACCATTCAAATGACAACCGCCATTCAAATGACATCTAAACCATGAGCCTGTGTGGAAAAGTCCCTGGCTGGTAATGGCAAGTGTAAAAGGCAGAACACCAAACAGTATGCCAATGATGGAAAATAGAGCTTAATGGTTTAAAACAAAGGGCTTGGGGTTGGACAGCCTTTTGGGTTTGAACCCTGCCTCTGCTATTGCCTATTGGTGGTGGGAGCGACCTTGGGCAAATAGTGCTGTCCCTCTAAGAGCCCTTCCTGTATGAAGACTGGAGGTAACATCCACCTCTTGGGGCTGCTGAGTGGAATAGGAGATCTAGAAAAGTAAACAGAGCAGCTAGCTGGCACACAGCAGGCGGCTGCTATTTTTAGCATGGCAAAACCACAGCCATCCAAAATCTCCTAAAAAGCCTGGAAGAAGACAAGGGAATCTTGCAAAGACGTGATCTTCCCTGTGATGGGGGAGCTTGCTTTTTTTTTTTTTTCTTTTAAGTAGGCTTCA